AATAATAATAATAATAATAATAATAAAAGGAAAATGCGTGCATCCACTAATACACATCAATATCGAGTTGTGTGGTGGAGGGAGAAATTTTTGGAATTGCGACATAAAGATTTCTTCTCTTAGATTTTTTTGTTCTTTTGCTGTCGGCTTCCCATCTATCCTTTCTCTCTTGTGACTGTGGTCGGAGGTTCAACCACAATGAGATCGTCTCCTCCCACTAACTCATTTAAAAAACCCTTCAACAAGATTCACTCAGACTCCTTGAACAAGTTCCTTACTAGTAGGAAGTTGCTTGCAATGGGTCTCTTCTCGGTAGGGCTGTTAACAATCTAAGAAAAGATTTCAAGCCGAGCTTGGTCTCCCCGAGGTAAGTTCCAATTGCTCTGTATGAACGATGGCTTCTTCTTGATGAAGTTCTCTTTTCAAGAAGACTTTGATTTAGCTTCGACCGGTGGTCGTTGTTTTGTCTTTGGTACGCATTTATTTTATAGAAATGGTCTCTTAAGTTTCAGCCCACCAAAGAGGAGCTTTCCTCTATTTCTATGTGGATTATGATTCTTAACCTTCCTCTTTGGTGTTGGAACATGGTATCTGAAAAATAAGCAGTAAATGGTTGTGGATGCTTTCACTACTAATAAGTCTCTTTAATCGAGTATGTGTACTAAATTTTTAATGGTTCTTCCTTTCCTGATGAAATTCTTTTGAAATTGGATGGTAAAGAGCAAACCCTAGCTATTCAATGTAAATGGAAGCCTTTAAATCGTGTAAGGTGTCACTCATTTTTCATGATTCTTCATGTCCTATCAACCCTATCACCCTTCCACCTTTTCACCAGTTTCCTCTTCCTCTTAAGACTAAAAGGGTAGAAGCACTACTCATGCTAGGCATAAGGTTTAACGCTCTCAAGCCCCTTCTCTAGTTAACCATGCACTTGCCAAGCTAAAACTCAACTCCTTCTCCAACTCTTCTTTTGCAGCCTCTCACCCAAATTCCTCAGCCTGTTTTATCCAAGGACACCTAACCAAAATTTGCCATAAAATCTAAACCCAAACCCTTTACCAGATACTTCAAACAACATCCCCATTTCTCCTCCCTCCCTCCCTCCTTCCTCTACTCTCAACAACAACAATTCCAAACCTCCCGAACACTCTTCACTCTTTAGTGCTCTCTAAAACCAATAAGTTTTCCAAATTTAGCCACATCGTATGCTGACGGTTTCTTGGATTGGACCTATTTTTACACTATAGGAACCTAATCCCAAAACATAAGCTAAACAATTGTTTTTTGCATTTTGGAACACAAATCTCTTCAAAAGCATATTTTTGTTCCTTTCTATTTATTTTCTTACTCATTGTTTCCTTATGAAGGATATTTCAACGACTTTCATATCTCATCTACTGGCAGGATTTGGGTCAAATACAGTTGTGCAAAATTATTTTTTTAATTTTTGCAACATTGAAAAGCAAGTGATCAATGGTATCATAACCAACAATTCACATAAATTCAATATAACAATTATTTATGTAACCAATCCAAATCAGGAAAGGGAAGAGCTCTAGAATTCCATTTCAAACTTTAAAATTTTGCCACTGGTCCTTGTATAGTTCTTGGGGTTTGTTGCATGTTTCAGAATGAGAATATTGGTGGCAAGCTTCTTCGTCCCAACAAACTCAAGTCTTAATGAATGTTTGTTATTTCTTAGGCTTTCTGATATTGCTTCTAAGGGCCTTTTCTATAACTGGTCTAATCTCAAAGCAAAAACTTTATCTCATGCAACCTGGATAGGATCATTGCTAATGATGCTCGATTCTAGGCCTATCCTGAATTTGTTAACTATGTATCTTCCCCCACTGCTCTTATTATTCTCCTCTCATCTTGAACTCCCTTGATCCTATAAAATCAAGTCAAGGTACATTTTCAATAACTTTTAGTTGCACTTTCAGGAATACCAAAACTTGATCCTTAATATTTGGTTAATTAAATTCCAAGGTAACCCTATCTTTTCTCTCATGCAAAAGCTTAAATCCCTTGATCAACATTTAAAATTGGCTAATTGGAATTGATATTCAAATCTCAACAAATTTTAGAACTCTATTAGGATTAAGAGCAAATTCTCTCTCATTTTATCAGCAATTCTCATGTCATTCAAGGTCATCGATGATCTCTTCTATTGTTATGCTTCTTGTGTTACCAAAGGGGCCAAAGCTTATTGCCTAAAAAAGGCAATGATGACCTCAAACTAATTTCCAAGATTAGCGTGAGAAAAAAAATATAAAATGATCTCTTACATCTCTTCCTCTACTTGCTCTTTCACTAATCATACTCACTTTACTTATGTGGTTGCGAATTACTTTTAAACTTGTATATTACATGTGTTGATCTCGTCAATACTTAGAACCTCATCAAAATAGATAACTCATTCCTCAACCGTCTGCTCCCTTAGTTGACTACTTTGGTTACTGAAGAAGAGATTAAACATGTTATTTTTGCTGCCCCGCCCACCAAAACTCTAGGGTCAGATGGTTTTACTACTAATTTATTTATACATAATTGGTACTTTTTAAACGCTGTCATTTTCATATCCTAATGCCCGAATGCAAAAAGTAGGGTTGTGTTAGATAATAGTAGCCAACAAATTTTTTTTTTTTCAAAAAATCATAATATAATTCCTGCAAATCATTATGTGAATGCTTGGGCGTCCTCTAAAAGCTTGTTATATAACCTGAATATAGTGAAAAGTGTACAAGGGCTGCTACACCAACATCTAAGTGTAGTGTAAATTAAGTAAAGGTTCTCATATTATGGACAGAGGAGGGCAAATAAGTTAGCCTCAGAAATGTTATTGGAATACAACACTCTCACAGATAAATTAATGAAATTAATAGATATTATGGTTCATAGGAAAATAAATATCTTATGCATTCAAGAAACAAAACAAGTTGGAGAAAAATGTTAAGTAGATTTATATTTTAGGTTTTAAACTTTGTTATTCAGATAAGAGTAACACTAAAAATGGTGTATGTGTAATTATAGATAAGTGATTTAAAGATAATGTTATAAAAATTAATAAAATTGGACATAGAATTATAGCCTTAAAGATCATTGTTGATACTGAGATTTTTAATATTATAATTGCTTATGCTTTTGAAGTAGGTTTAGATATAGGTTTAAGAGAAAATTATAGAATGGCATAAAGGAATTAATACAAATGATATCTCTCGAAGAAAATTTTTTATTGGAGGAGATTTAAATGAAAATGTTTGTGAAGTGGTGGAAGATTTTAGAAATATTCATGGTGGATATGGTCTTGGAGTGATTAATGAAGAAGGTATAACCATATTTGAATTTTATTTAGCTTATAATTTTGTTACTACTAATAATTTATTTGAGAAAAAATATGAGCATATTGTTCCTTATAAGAATGTTTCTAATAAAGCACAAATTGTTTTCTTATGAAAAAAAAAATCGTCGAGAATGTAAAGAGTGTAAGGTTATTTCAAGTGAAAATTTAAGTGAACAATATTAATTATTAGTTTTGAGATTTTAAGAGTTGGAAGATAAAAAATCTAGTGAAATATTATCATAAAAATTAGATGAGGGTGTTTAAAAAACACTAATAAAATTACTTTTATGAGTAAACTTCAATATTTCACAATTTAGGATGTTCATGATAAAACTAATTCTATGTGGGATAAAGTAACAAACACTATTAAACAAGTGACAATAGATATTCTTGGAAACTCGAAAAGGAAATTTTTTATAAATAAAAAAATAATTTATAGTGGAATAATAATGTGTACGAAAATAATATAAGAAATTTTCTTATAAAAATTGGTTTAAATGTAAGATCTTAGAGAGCCGAGAAAAAATATACGTTGGCTCATAGGGAGTTTAAGAGAACTATATGTGATACTAAGAATTCTTTTTTTAGTGATCTTTATAATAGATTTGATACTAAAGATGATGAAAAATTTTATGTATAAACTAGACAAACAAAGAGAAAATAAATGTAAATATATAATTCAAGTAAAGTGTATTAAGGATGTAAATTAAAAATTTATTTTCTTAAAGGAAGATATTTAACATTGGTATTTGAAATATTAGAAGAAACTTTTCAATGAAGTTTCTGAAAATACTATCGACCTTAATGATCTTAACTTTGTTAATAATAATAAAACTTTTATTTTGTCGTTGCATTAGTAAAAAGGAGTTGAAGAAGCTTTATGGAAAACCAAAGGTGGAAAATCAATAGGATATGATGATATTATAGTTGAAGTGTGGAAATATTTACGAGATTTGAGATTTTCTTAGCTTGATATTATTTTAAAAATTAAAAAAGATGCCTTAGGAGTGAGAAAGAGTATTTTGGTCCCCTATTTTTAATAATAAAGGGGTTGTACAAAAGTGTGTTAATTATAAAGGAATTAAGTTAATGTGTCATACATAAAAATTATGGAAGAGATTAATTGAACATAAGAAATATGTTATATTAAGATTTCTCATAAACAGTTTGGAGTTATGCTAGGAAAATTTACTATAGAAGTTATACATTTATTAAGATGTTTGATGGAGAAGTACAGAGGAAATAAGGAGGATCTACATATGCTTTTTATTGATTTAGGAAAAAAGTTATGGTCTTGTTCCAAGAGAAGTTCTTTGGGGGGCTCTAGAAATTGATATGAATTAAATTAAAGATATGTATACTATAGTTGTTACTTAGTGTTTGAATGGAAAGAGGATTGACCAAGTATTTTCTTATTTCAGTTGGATTACATAATGTATCAGTTTTAAGCCTATATTTTCTTGA